GCGTCAGTGAATGAAATGTCACACTGGTGACACACTCGTGCCGTGGTAACTAAGAATTACACAAGCTTCAGTCTGGATCCAGCCCTTACAAAGACCCGAGATGACCAAACACCTGAGAAGAGATGATGCCAACCCCTCAGAGGACCTCAGATGATGCAAACCCTGAAACAACATAAACTACCAAATTTTGCTACAAGTTTGACTGCGACATATATTCATTGCTGTTAATAGTGTGCATCGTTTGTTTGATTACGTCATTAACCATGTCGTACGCAAATGAGCGGTCTGAACTTATTTACACAGTGCATTTTTTATTTTGGTTGTGCATGCGCACCTGCGGACCACTTATGTGCTCCCCTGATTATATTGATGTGTGTGAGCTGTAGGGACGGGTTTAAAGGAACTGTAGTAAGGACTTACAGTGTCTGATGGCTTTTGCGTGTTGTACCTTATAGTATCTCAGCAGCAGGTTGTCCAGGTTCTCAGGATGGGCCTGTTTACCGATGTTGGGTTTATACAGAATGAGATTGCGACCCCGACCCTGTTCGGCGAGCAGGACACACGGCTGACTCCCACGCAGCTGAACACACAAACACACATATATGGTGTTAAAATACTCGATGGCTGGTAATTTGACATTTGGATGATTTCGACTGCATAAACATAGGAAGCATGATTTATTGTCAGACATCAGTGTGTGTTGATGTGTCATGTACCTTGTTTGAGAGGTAAAAGCCTTCATAGTCCCCAGTGAGTTTCTCTGCTTTACTGCAGGCCTCTTCCCAGGGCATCCCACGATCCACACTGATCTGAAAACAAACACAACACAATGTCAAGACATTTCTAACACTAACTAACTAAATAGTAATTACATATGTGGCCAAAATGATTAGAACACTAGTATTTTCACCAGCTAAACTGGTGAAAATTTAACACAGCCTAAATGGTTTTAAGTCAGTTATTTCTATCTTTTGCTGTAGTGTGTCAGTAGGAAATATCAGTTTACATTTCCAAACATTCATTTTGCCATTAATTGTAATCATTTTGTGAGATTTTTGTCTGACAACAGCCTGTGCTCCAAACAGAGATATGATCTGATCATAATCCAGTCTGTCTGTGATTATGTGAAGAAACAGAACAAACTGAGACCAACTAAATCCAGAAGAACTGTGGAGACGTCTCCAAGACGCTTCAAGAAACCTTCCTGCAAAGCTACAGTACTATTAAAAGTTGTAGGCACTTGTGTAAAAATGCTGTAAAATGAGGATGCTGTCAAAAATAATGTCATAAATAGATTTTCTTTATCAATTAACTTCTATTAACTAAATTAAATCAACATTTGGTGTGAGCGTCCTTTGCATTTAAAGCAGCTTTTGCCCTCGGTGCACTTGCACATAGTTTCTCAGGGAGCTTTGCAGGTAGGAAAATACTAGTGTTCTAATAATTTTGGCCACCACTGTATATATATATATA